AATTGTGCAAAAACTATTCGACGGATCTAGCCTATCTTTCGCACACACTTCGAACACGATAAGGTCTTTAAGTTCAGATACATTTAAATAAATTTTATTGATTAATAAAAGAGTAGTTAACAATAATCAAAAACAGTGGTTTTGCTTGGTTATTATGCAATAAATTTTTTGTTTATTAACCGATTTTAATTTAGTATATCTCATTTTGTGTATTTTTTTTTCTCAACAACTTGTCTGTAGACGTCAAATCTCTAAATAGACAAGTTTATAAGTTATGAGCAAAATAATGATATTGACATTTTAATTGTTTATTTAAAAATATTTCCACTAAAAAATTCATGAATCTCTAGATGAGAGTCTTTTTGTAATATCTCATACTACTTATTTTAACTGTCAAACCCGTCTATACACTTGTGATGAGTAAAAACCTAACTTGATCGGCCTACTCAGAGCATTCGTTGAAATTAGAAATCACCGCATATGTATGCGTGCTTAAGGCGCTCCATCCATTCTCGAAAAAATGTCTGAGAAGCTGCTTATAGTTAGTGCCGCTTTTGTTGTTATTAATTCATTAAAAAAGAAAAAACAAAGTAAAAATAGGTAATGGTAGACGACGCATTTATTTAAAAGAAGAGCCCTACAAATAAAGTCCGATTTACTATACCTTATTCCATTAAGCGATGCAGGGCATATAAACAACGATAAATTTAACAGATAATTGTTAAAGGTGTTCCAAATGAGTCTACTCGTTCCGATAAGTAACAGTATAATTATGACACTTTATAATTTTTTTTTCTCAAATATTCGTGTTTATTGCATAGTAAATAAATTAATGTTTTCACTGAATACATAGTAAGTGAAAAAATAATCCGATTTATAAAATTAATCAATATTTTATGCATAAATGCAAGTAACAGTTCTTCAAAAATATTTAAAATCTAACCGAAATGTCCATCTTTATTTCGTCTGGCGACGTTATCGGCGGGTCATACCGGTTCGGACACGATTTAATGTTTACATTTTCCTGCATCGCTTATTGAATTTTACTATAGTAGATTTGGCGTTAGAACCTAATACTGGACAAATTAAAAATTTTACACGTATGTCAGTAGAAGACTTTGAACGTATTGCATAGTATGGGCCCCGTAATAAAGAAAAACAACACAGTCTTAAGAAAAGCCATACCTGTTAAGGAACGTTTACTGATAACATTAAGATTTCTGGCCACAGGGAACACTCTGTATTTGTTTGTCCCAAGAAATTGGTACCACATTTATATATTTACACTAATTTTTTTTTTCGACCGGCATCTTAGAAACCTCGGTAGCTCATTTTGGTTTGCAGCATTAAAAGTTTGACGAAAAAGTAGCACAGGTTCGTTAAAACTGCAATGCTTTATCTTCCATAACAACCGAAATAACCTATAAAAGTGTCCGAATTGGGACACCCTGTACTTACTGTAAAAACACAATACCTTTTCCTGTATCCACGGACTTCTTGCATTTGCTCCTTTGAGCCCTAAAAGACCCAAGTAAGCTGCTCATTTTCTTATTTACAACTGCTGAATCTATATCAAGATTTCTTATTTTTTTGACTCCATAATATAGGGTTTTCTTCATACAAATCTATGAATTGCAAACATTGTTCATTTGACCACTCCATTTTACACATTCTTCTTCTTCTTCTTACGGTGCCTATCCGTTTCGGATGTTGGCGATCAACATGGCTATCCTAACTTTGCTTGCTGCTATTCTGAATAGTCCGGTTGTCGATGTATTAAACCACTTTCTTAGGTTTTGAAGCCAAAATATTCTTCTTCTTTCTGGTCCTCTCTTTCCAAATACCTTGCCCTGAAGAATGAGTTGCAACAAGCCGTATTTCTGTTTATTCCTCATAACATGGCCAAGCTATTCTAGTTTGCGCTCTTTGATGGTGTTAATAATCTCGCATTCCTTGCCTATTCTACGTAGGACCTCAACATTAGTCACACGATCCACCCATGAAATTCTTAAGATACGTCTGTAACACCACATCTCGAATGCCTCGAGTTTTCTTAAGGAAGCTTCAGAAAGTGTCCAGGCCTCTACTCCCTATAATAAGGTAGAAAATACATAGCATCTTATGAGAGAGATTTTGCTAGCAAGTGGTAAATCATGACTTCTGAAAGGAGACTTTATCATTATGATACGCTGATCTCGCTTTTCCTATGCGTTGTTTTATCTCACTGGAGTGATCCAATTGGCTGTTAATGTTGGTACCAAGGTATGTGTAACTGTCCACTCTGTCAATTGGATGTTGGTTAACCAAAAGCTGTGTATTTAATATTTCGCGCTTACTGACTACCATGTACTTTGTTTTCTTCGTATTAAGATCAAGTCCGTGTTCTCTACTTATATGTGATATATGCGACATTATTCTTTGCAAACCGTCCAGACTATCTGCAAAAACTACTGCGTCGTCGGCATATCTAATGTTGTTTAGACGCATTCCGTTGACTAATACGCCTTCTTGTAGTTCTCCCAGCGCTTGTTCGAAGATATATTTAGAGTATATATTAAATAACACCGGCGACAGAATGCATCCTTGCCTCACTCCTCTATCTATGGAGACTGCCTCTGTCAATTGATCATCCACTTTAATATTGGCTGTTTGGTTGTAATATAAATTATAGATGATTCTCAAGTCCCTATCATCTAGCCCCACTTCTTTCAAGATGTTTATAAGTTTATCATGTTTTACTCTATCAAATGCCTTTTTGTAGTCGATAAAACAAATATACACATCGCAGTTAACATCCCTGCATCTTTGCATAAGCATTTGGACAGCAAATAGAGCCTCTCGGGTGCCTAAGGAATCGCGGAATCCAAACTGCGTCCATGATACTTGTTCTTCGCGTTTTTTATATATTCTGCCGTGTATCACTTTCAAGAACGTTTTAAGTAAGTGGCTCATTAGGCTAATTGTTCTGTAGTCTTCGCATGTCTTGGCATTTACTTTTTTTGGTATGGTCACGAAGGTCGACTTTAACTAGCTTTGGGGTATTTTTCCAGTTACGTATATGTTGAATACAGTTGTTATCCATTTTATTCCCTGTTCATCCATAAGTTTAAGGAATTCTGCACAAAACTCGTCAGGCCCTACCACTTTACCATCTTTAGTTCTTTTAATTGCTGACGTGACTTCTTCAATGGTAAGCGGGGGTCCTGTTTGGCATTCAGTGTCTTCAATGGTAGTCTGCGTTTCATCTGCAAAAGTTACTTCCACATAACTCTTCCAAGTGTCTAGTTTTTCTTCCACGGTTAACAGTTGTTTGCCTTGGTTATCTGCCAAACACCCAACTCTTCTAGGTTTGTATAAGCCTGCGGCTTCTTTAACTTTTTTGTGCATATTAAATGTATCGTGTTTACGTTGCAATTGTTGTATTTCCGAACACTGTTTTCTTAGATGTGTATCCTTAGCTATTCTAATAGCTTTTTTGATCTTTTTATCGATTCTTTTGTATAATGACATGTCTTGATCTTTGAACTTTCGCCTCTCTTCCATCATATCTAGAATCTCATTTGTCATCCACGATTTCTTCTTAACTTTACGTCCACGATTTTACACATAAATCAATAAAATGAATAAAACTCAATAAATCCTAGCTTGTTTTGCAAATCAACAAATCCCCACGCTATCCGTCTAAACTGAGCGCGAACGCACATGTATGTTTGGTTTAAAAATTCTCTAGTCGACTGTTTAACACCTGTTGCTATGTTTACTATATATTAAATAGTATCATCAACAATACCTATTATCAGTAATACATATTTCAATTATTGTGCATTTAGGATTATTAAGAAAAACTAAATTTTCTATTACAATGGTGTATCCGTTTTCAGAAATGCCAGATATGCATTTATTTCTGGGTAAGTTTGAGTAAGCTAAATTAGGGTTCTAGATAATTATTGGTAATTTGGTAATAACAGATGAATGCCAAGAGAATAGTGCAGCAGCTGCAAGAAGTTATGCAGAAAGATTATTTCTTTGCATTGACCGTCGTTTACGAGATACAGGCACATTGCCACCGCAACTTGTTGGTAATAATGGTCGACCAAAAGTAGATACAAACGATAAAGCCATTTTGGAAGCGATTGCAGAAATCCCTGGAAGCAAAACAAGAGCTCAATTAGGGTAAGAAATAAAAGAGTAGAATGGAACGATCATATAAGCCGAATGACAACAACAATGAGTAGTAAAGACGGCAAGAGACGGTTCTCCAATAGGAAGACGATCAGTAGAAAGACCAGGAAAACTATGGAATGACAACTTACTGGAGACACATTGAAAAACAGACAGAGTCATGTCTATATGAAAAGAAGAAGAAGAAGAACATAAGAACTTAAGATGCTATAGGGTAAATAATACCATAATACAAACATAACCTATAACCGAGAACAGTGGAAAGAACTGAGGAAGGCCTATATCCAGCAGTGGACGTGATTGGCTGATTGATGATGATGAAACAATGAACTTTTGGTATCATATTTTAATTTTATAAAATTTCAAAAAAACGAATTATATTCTTGGTTCATGTAAATCCATTATTCAATATTTGGGGTTAGCCCACTCTTGCTATCATAGCCTCAGTTATTCTAATCGTATTTGAAAATTTTATGATTTTATATTTTAAAATTTCATTGCTTGTTGACAAACGAAGCTAATATAAGAGACCTCCAAGAAAATAATTCTTCCCATTCTCATATATTGAGACAATATTATACAAATTATACAACCATCTTTATGTTTATAATTAAAACAGTAATTTTCTTCAACTTGTTATTTATAGAAACAATCTTTTAACCAAGAAAAATAGGCACCTCCGCCTCCAGCTCGACTCCCACAAGAACTCGTTATTTAACTCGAAAAGTATCACTTATCTGTTAGAAATGAACATTTATTAAAATCACCGCTGATTGCAAGTCTGCATGTGAGAAATAACAGTGTTCTCTTTGTTGTAGATTCGACCTAATTCCTGGAAATCGGATCCGCAGCTGAACCAGAAACAAGTCAAAAGGTAACTAGTTCTAGTTTTAACTGTTAAGCGGCTTGTGTTATCGGTATGTAAGTTTTAATAGATATCATTATTATACTCGGTATGTTGCCTAGTCTGGAGATTTATTTTATATATTATGCATCTTAAGTTTTCAAAGCAATCATGGGCGCTGCCAGGATTATTTTCAGGGGTGCATTTGAATCTACACAAACTATTAACCAATATAAAATATAGAACTAAACGTATACAGCTCAGTAGAGCGCCGATTATCCGAACTAATTGGGGATATAGGTGTTTGGAAAAACCGATTTTTTCGGATTGTCGAACTATATTGAACGAGACACAGACACATTACTAAAGCATTTTGGTCAACTTCATTTAAAACAAATGGTCTACCAACCTTTCCTGTGTTCTTTCCATTTATTGCTCTATTTATAGAACATCGTGGTATTCCAAACTTTTCTTCGGCTTGCCTTAAAGAAATTCCGGACCTAACAGCTTCCACTGCTTTATGAAGTTGCTCCTCCGAGAAATTTCAGTATTTTCTAGATCCCAAAATTCTTTTTTGCGTTCGAACCATACCTGAGCCTGAAACAATAATGAAAAAAAGGTAAGTAGGTACGTAAGTAGGTAGTTTAGAAACTAGTTTTTATAGTATCTAATTTGTGGTGGGGTAACTGTCTAATTTGTGGTGGGAGACAGTTGTCTCAAGTTGACCAACCAAGGTCAGGCTGAGAATTCATATTTTATAGCAACCATAAACTTGGCAACGCCGCAATGAAATTTACGGCACACCAATATTAATATTAGAGGTTACGTTTTCTACAACAATTGCTTGTTTTCGGATATTAGTCATAGAATTATTATATAAGTTATGTACTACATGAAATTTGGCAATTTTAAAGTTGATGTTTATTAAAAAAATTATTAACTTACCTTAGATAAGACAAAAAAATTTAATTACTAACGGTCAACAATCACACGTTAGCTACCTTTTGCTATCAAAACAACACTAAGTGTTAACCGGGATGCCAAATCGACGAAAAATAATAGTGTCTACAAATTGTCTCAAGTAATCCCATCGTCTCACAAGTTACCCCAAATTACGGAATATCCCCAACCTATGTTAATCAGTAACTAAAAACAGAGCAGCTAGTTTTTCTTTACTAACATTGTATTATTTACGAGTTGTTGATGCACGTCTTTAGTTAACATCAATTGAATCGGTGAGTTGAAAAAGGTGCACATTCCAAATTGGCTTTTTTGCAGGAACCAAAAAAATTGTTTATCTGCAAAACTAAATATGGTACAGAAAATGTTTCAATTATGATTTTTACAATTATTAATTTGTCAAAGTTCATAACTAAAACATTATCTGTTACATATTTAGTTTTGCAGATATACAACTTTATTTTTGGTTCTTGAAAAATAACCAATTTGGAATGTGTACCTTTTTCAACTCAATGATTCAATTTATAGGTTACAGACGTGATATGTAGGTTGCATAATACTAGTTAATGAATAAGAAATGTCTAAATATACAGATGCGTTCAAATATGCAAACATGCACTTTGGGAACGAACAGATGGCAGCAGATTTTTTGAAATACGCTGGGACATATATGTCCCAGCGGATATATATGAAAAGGTTAAAGGTTCATTGATATTTTCGTCCCTGACGTCTGGACTAGGGCCCGCGTAGCGCAAGCGGTAGTGTGCTTGCCTCGCATGCCGGTGGTCGTGAGTTCGAATCCTACCGCCGGCAAGAACAACTAGGCATTTTTAAAAATGTCTATAGGCCCCAGGTCGACTCAGCCTGAATAAAATGAGTACCTTGGGTAAAACCAGGGGTAATAATAGGCGGTTGAAGCGTAGCACTGGCCATGTTACCTTCCTTGTATACCGTAGGCCCTAGATATAGCAGACTACCCTGCTATACTCCCAAAGCCGCGTGCGGTATAAAACGGGAGACTTATTATTATTACGTCTGGACTATCCTTCCTATTATATATAAAAAAATAGGTCAACTTTAAAAATCTAAAAACTTATCCTATATTTCATAATGTAAATTTTATTTTAGACTTTATTATGAATAGGCACGAACCTCTAATACGCTTTTAATTTGGCTTTAATTGGAAAGAATGGTGTGGATTTTAAAAGCGCCTATAAATTTAAAGAGTAAATATTCATAAGCTTGGTAATTTTAAATCGGTAAATGTTTATAAATTGCGTGTTCGTTGAAGAAGAACCACACACCATTTAATTATGAGAATTATGCACTAGTTCATTTTCTTTCATATTAATGTTAAAATTTATAATAAGTATTAAACTATAATGTAAAAGATTTATAATTTTAAAATAAGAATAGGAATGTTTTTTGATAAAAGAACTTTCTTGTAAAATGCACACTACGCACATTAACAAATTATGCCAAACTGACCTTAATTGAATGCGAACTTTGTGTAACAAATTGGGGATCAGATTTTAAAAACCTTATTCACATATGGAACTAAGATGAGAAGATTAAACATAAATACAAACAGCCATTTCAAATAAGATCCTGAATCAAAGTTCCAAACTAATGTCAGAGATAAAGGTAGGCGAGATTCGACAAACATTAAGTGAAATGAAAAATAAAAAGCCCCATGAGTGGATGGAATTGTAATAAAAGCTATCGGAATTGGAGGAGATATGCTATTAAATAAATTAGGGAAACTGTTAAATCTATGTTTGCAGCAAAGAGATGTGCCCAAAGAATTGAATAATGCTATAACTGACCTAGATAATTATAGACCTATTATCCTGATGAACCACATATACAAGCTCTTCACTAGGTTAGTGACATCAATATTGAAGAAAAAATTAGATTTCTACCAACCGAGAGAGAAGGCAGGATTCCGATCAAATTATGATACTAATAATCACCTCCATCTAGTAAAGACACTTAGCGAAAAATCTATAGAATACAAAAAACCCTCACTTTCATAGATTTTCATAAAGCATTCCACACGTTCGAAATAGACAGCCTTATAGAAGCAATGAATAACAGCAGGATTGACCATATGTATAGTGAACTGTTATATTTTTATAGTTCTAATTTAGTGTCTTTATTCTAATTTATTAAAACTCACGGTAATTTATCAAAAGTCTTTATTTCCTACAAATAATTTAAACGTTCGTTACATTTTAACGCGAGATCGCGATCTTCTTTTTGACTGCCTGCTCAATGAAAGTCCTGTTATTTATATATAAAATACAGTTATCTAGAAGGGTCTGGAGAATTCCTCTGATGACGGACCATCCATTATGTAAATCATTCAACCAGTCTAGAAAAGTCGTTCGTTTTCTCGTCTAATAAAAACTCGCAGTGCAATGGCTCGTCGACTGCGTTATTGCTACCTGGTCTGGTTATTCGACCTTTTTGGAGAATTCTCTAGTAATTTCTGACGGCAGGTACAGGTATGAGCGCCGAAATTACTACAAATAGAAAAGAATTAGTCACAATATATTTACAGTTTTATACGAGATAATATTTTAAAATCGTAACAGAACTTATTTACAATATTGACAAAAATGCTACTATTTTAGTTACAGTTAGTTACAGTTAAAAGCCTACAATGTTTAGTGAATAAAACACAATGGCAGTAACTAAAATTAATGTAGCCATGGCGGTAACCAACGTTTTAAAGAATATGGTACATGAAGACTGGTTTAATGACGTCCATGAATGCAGTTGCGATATGCTTGGTCTGTATGAATCGCTCCTTAGTGCAATCTTCCAAATTGGTCTGCTAGGGTCATTCCGATTCTTTCTGTGTTTTATTATCTAATATATCTGTCATCAATCTTGCCTCTCGATGATATGCTGTTTTTTTTTCAAATTTCTATCAACGTATTTACTTGAGCTTGTTCTATCTCTATATGAACTCTCTTAGCATAAGGACTACATTTTATGATTTAAATTATATCAACACCTAATATGAATAACATTGTAACTCTACTTACAATGTTTTTAGCTATGGCATATATGACTTATATAAAGGATTACCTTAATTTTGGTTTATCAACTATTATCCCATCTTATGTACATATAATATTAGTTAACAAAATAACCATTGTAAGTGCAAATTTTAGTGGAAAAAATGTTGTAACCAACGTTACAATGTTGAAAAATTTTAATATTGATGAGCATTTTGTTATAAAAACTTTGTAACTTAATTTTCCATGATTTGTAGAACAGAGCAAATTCTGTAGATGAAAATATTAAAACAGAAAATAAAACTCTATTCCAACAAAAGAATCCCACTACGTAAGGAAAAGCTGTATTTTAATGAGTTTTTAACGTTTCCCAAACTGGATTCAATGTATGTCGAAAGTACAATACAAAAAAATATAACGCACAACCACATCTTCTCAGTTTTTAGTTCAATCTTTTTTTGATCAATTATCGTTTATGAAATTGCAAATCTAGAATGCAATCAAAATTGAGCAAAAGGGCTACCAAATCCAGGAATACAAATATACAAGATTTATTTGAACTTCAAATTAAAATGGTTTACTTCCCATAAAAACTTCAACATCTTGGTGCTTTGTGCTCTAGTAAAGCTATAACAGAGCAATATTGAAGTTTTATTGAATCTTTCCCATTCCCAACACAATATTCGGATGATGACTCTGAATAAAAGTTTGCGAAGGGTTAATTTTGTTTTTTAACTGTTTTGTTATTTTGTAAATGCTCATCTTGTAATAAATAGATAATATTTTATTTATTTCTTGTTAGTACCTATATATTAATTGTTAGATACTTGTTTGAGTAAAGACATCACGTTTTAAGGTAAAATCATTAATAATTAAATAATAATTAAAATAATAATCTGTTTATTTTGATATTTACTCATTAGTTACGATTTATATGCACCTTATCAAAGACACACACTTTGTTGAAATATCATTGTATAAACCACTTATAATGATCTTTCCACATGAAGGTCTAAAGCTGAGTTCAGTATAAAATATGGATTA